ATTCCAAATCAAGTCTAAAAAAAAAACCAACAACATTCAACTCAAAGTTTACAATTTGATGACCTAATCAACGGAGCAAGTTTATACAGCGTTAAACCTTGTTGCGACGTGTATATTTTCCCACATTGATCGAAAATATATTTATATATAGCACTTTTCCAGAACAAACAGCAGTAGTCTGTGAGTTTATATCATGCCTGGTGCGTTTATGCCTTTTGATATCATGTTTTCTTTTAGTGCTGTATAAGCACATAATACAATGTTGCATGGTTCTACTTCTGATGTCTCCTCAACTGCCTCTAATATACAGCCATCCATCCTTAAGAAATAAAAAATAATAAAAATCGTGAATTTGTTTTATCAAAACATTGTTAATAAAACATTTTAAAAATACATGTAAGTCACCTGAGTTACTCATTTTACCTACGACATTTTGGTTCTCGTCTGTCGACGTCCGTCGTGTGTTTACAGTTTTATTTTTGTTTTTTTTTTTTTTTGGGGGGGGGGTGTTTGTTTTTCTTTTCTTTTTTTTTTTTAAATATTTTATGTTTTTCTGTTTTTATTTTTATTTATTTGTGTGTGTTTTGTTATTGTCTGTTTGTTTGGTTTTTTTGGTTTTTTTTTTGTTTTTTTTTTTTTGTTTTTTTTTTTTTTTTTACCTTTTATTGAAAACTATTAACATTGTTAATTCTTCTCAAATTTAGACGCCAAAATTAAGTTTAAATGAAAGTATGAAACACCCTGACTGTAAGGTTAAATGTATGTATGGACTATGGTACCCAGATGACTGTCAAGACTTGTGGATCTCCTGTTTGTTCAAATACATACCAGTACAACTTGCCTTACTTTAGGAACGAACAATACAATTCGAACAATCTCGTTTGAAACGACGCATACAGTGATTACAATGACAGAGGTGTTTTAAATTGTGTAATTTCAAACCTCAACATTTAAATATAAAACTCCGAAGCATACATGACATTTTTCTGTATCATAATTTTCAATATTTGCCATTTAGAGAAATAATTATATCTATTGTGGACTATAAACAACGTACAAATGTTACATGCATGTGTAAATATGTGAGCAAACGAAAGTTTCCAAAAGTTTGCTTGCGTGGTTACTGAGAAAAATAGAAATTAAAGAATTTTCACTTTTCGTCCGTTTCCATGGCAACGGTAAGAATTTAGAAAAAAAAAATGAATGTTGACTGCACACCTAGAGTTTCTAATTATAATTTCTGTAAAGTTTCATCAAGATTGTCCAAGCCACCTCTGAGAACATATCTGAGCATAATACCTTTTTCTGTTTTGTTTCTATGGTAACTGTGAGCAGCCAATTCCAGGTTTTTTTCAAAAACAGAAATCACTTTGACACAATGCAAGGAATCACCCATTAAAGTTTCAAAATGATTGTTTAAGCAGTTACGGAAAAAATCGAAGTTAAAGAATTTTCACTTTTCCTCTGTTTCCATGGCAACAATTGAAAATTTTAAATGCAAATCGCACAACTACAGTTACTGATCATAATTTCTATAAAGTTTCATGATGAATGTTCAAGGGACCAGAGAGAACACTCCCGGATAAAATTCCTTACTTTTCGCACGTTTCCATGGCAACGGTAGCCATGTTGAAGTTGAAAATTTTTTCCACATATCATCTTTTATGGAGAGTTCCAGTAACAATGCCTCAGCCATCTGCGAGAAAGTGCCCGGACAACGTTTTTTAGGCGTACAATAGCAATATGTCGCCCGACTTCGTTCGGGGCGACATAAATAATGATATGTCTATCCCAGTATAGATGTACATGTAAAACTGAAACGAATTTTTATAAGTCCGGATAATTAAAGTCAAAACCAAGCCGTCCGCGGACACATTCACACTAAACAAAGAGAAACCTTGGGATGGCCTTATATATATGGCGACAATATGTTGCAGGCACCTAACCTCCTCACTGCACATGTTGTTCATCGATACATATAAACATCAGCGACAATTTGTGCCGAGGCGAGCTTTTTTTCTTCTACCTGCTATATTGGCGACAAAATGTACCTTATACATGTACATATCGGCACACATTGTCCCCAACAATTTGTACTTTGAACAGCCGCACATTTTTGTCTCCAAAAACTCTTTTATTGAAGCTGTATGAACAATTTCTAAAACGAGGCAAGCTATTGACAAACAAGTTGACGATTCAAGGATATCAACATTCTCGTTTGAAGTCATCTTTTCGCAAGTTTTTTGGTCGATACAATGACCTTGTCAGCACATACAACCTGTCATTGAGTCAACTGCTGACTGACTTTTTCATATTGATTGTTAGGCCATTATTTATTCACTGAACTGTCTACGGATATTTCCGGTTTTTGTTTCCCAATCATGACAAGGAGCACACGGCGGGTGTGACCGGTCGGCAGGCGATGCTCACTCCTCCATGGCAACTGATCCCACTTCTAAATTTTGAGGTCCGTGCTTGCTCTGCTCCAAATTCGTATCGTTTTATTGGACTTTCGAGATTGAATACTGTTCCTTATCTTCATATTTCATCATAAATCTTACATAAACGGCACGTACATAGCTCTCTCTCTCTCTCTCTCTCTCTCTCAATATATATATATATACACTGTATATATACAGTGTATCATACGTTTAGCTTTCTGGTCAAAACTTTTCGAAGCTGACGTTGGCAACGATATTACAGATTATGATAAATGACATAATTATAATTTCATACATTCTCTCTTTTACTTTGGAAAGCAGAGAGCAAGTAGAAACGAATTACATGTATCATATTCATCAAAATCATTTGAAGTAAAAGAAAATCCCCAAAACTGACAGTTTTGCTCTATAGGATTTGCATCAGTGGTATTCAGTCAAATAATCATCATATATCAATCCATGCATCAGATATCTTGTATGTGTTATGTATCCTTAAAAACAAAGTCACAGTGTCAAACAAAGCATTTAAGTTTCATACTATGCCCATTCTAATTGAATTATATGCAATTTTCGATTTGCATGCATTCATGCAATAAAGTGCACAGTATATTAAATGCTAGGGTTTTAGCTTACATGTACAGTACCGTAGCATCAAAATAAAATTTTCTTTTGACAGTTTTCTTTTCAATCAATTTTGCATCAGCCTTTCTCTTTATCTGCAGCAAATTTTTACTTTAGCCTGTAATACCTAGGGGTGGGTTGAAAATGGTTATCTGCTAGCAGGGAAATTTATAGTCAAAGGCCTGTTCCCTCTTTTTTTGTTGGGGCGAATTTTTGTATTACAAAACGAGAGTGAGACCCCCCTTCCCACGAAATGAGATTTCGAGTTTGCCACCTCCCTTTGATTTGGCTGGTCAAACTAAACCAATATATCTGTTTTTATATTTTTTTTAATTATGGCATCCTGTAATTGCACACCTAGGTGCAATAATGTAGCCCTCTCCGATTTTTTTTGAGATCAGATAAAAAATATCGAAGAGGGCTACATTATTGGAGCTACAGGGACCCAACATTTTATGTATGACTTAAATAAATTCTCTCTGAAACAATAAGGCTACATGTATGTCTGTCAAATTAATGTACGTAAGTACGTGTATTTTTACACATTGTGAGCTAAAATTGTTCACATCAGTTTCTTATCCAGATTAGAATCCTTTGTCAGTAGAATAATATAACTCAGACGAGTGTTGTTGCCGAAGAGCCTATTGTTGTAAGATTGTAATCAGGAATCAAAAGGGGGTTTATATTTTGGTGTCATTATCTTTTATTGTCCATGCAAGTGACGAAAAAAAAACTCTCTTATCCCGGATATACATATGACTATGAACTACTAATAAAATATGGAATGCGGTAACTGAACTTTTCAGTTGTAAGCAATCCATTAGCCATTAAGTTTTATCACTATTTCTGTTGAACGGTGAATAATTATATCCTGGTAATGCATCATTATCTGAAAACACACCATAACATGTATAGAAAAATTGATCAAAACACGCAGGGAGGAAAAATGTGGCAATACATTTGAATAAAATGAAAAAGACAAAGCAGTATAAAATATATCAACATGTACATGTAATTATCGCAGTTGGAATTTTTTTCCAGCTTTGATTTCACTATCGCGTGAACCCAAACATGTTACGTTTTGAACGTTTTTGTTAAAGTTGGAAAATCCAGTATTAATCGTGCCTTTTCCATTCATTATTTAACAAAAATAATTTCACCTGCTGTATACATATAATCCACCCAACGTGGATATGTATGGACCAGTATGCCATTGTACAGGGCTTTCATTTCGTTTTTATATTTTATTCTGAAATATTTTAAGAATAATTAAAATTTATAAATATTTCGGGCATTTCATACGCACGTGTCTAAACCTTTAAGACACAAATAGAATCATTTCTACCCAAAGTATACGCTGGCGGATTAAGAGTGTAGGGGTTGGTAGTAGTTGAGAGTGGGGTTCCAGCCTTCTGTGAACGAAAATTTAATAAAGACGAATAAATCCTTTAGTTTTTTGATTCTTAGATATTGATTTAAAATACAAAGATCAGCTAAAATGTGTTTAAAAGACTTAAAAACTGGAAACTTCCGCGACTTCACCCCCCCCCCCCCTTGAGCCCCTGCCAAGACCGTCTTTGGATCCACTGGATGCCTGAAGACAGTGCTCAGACCTCGTCCTGCCCACGCACCCACCCCCTTATCAAGAATCCTGGATCCATCACTGGTGTACACAATATCAAACCATCAAAAACTGTAAATTGTTAAATAAATTATTTTAGGAAAGAGCTGTTCATGAATACTTAGTAAAAAAAAAATCGAATAATCTGGAATTTAAAAAAAAAACGCATTTGATTACACCAGTAAATACATGTATATTCTTTGCTTTGTTAAGAAAAACTTTATTGTTTTAGGACAATTGCTGTAGCAATCCAGTAACAACTTTAAATTACAAAATTAAAATGTAATTTTCAATCATTGATTTTTTTTATTTGACAAAAAGTTACTGAAGCGTAATTAAATATTGATTTTCACAATTGTAAATATAAAACAGATAATCAAAAAAAATCTTAATTAACTATCCTACTGGGATATATGACAGAAAAAGGTAACTCCAGTAAAAGTATTCAACAAATACATATACGTATATATATACATCTTTACAAAAATCAAATATACAGAATTTATCTGTTTTCAAACTCCTAGAACACTTCCTACTTAGGAAAGAACCGAAAACAAAACATACCAAATATACAGTGTAAAATGGATAATAATAAGATAATTAATCCAACAGAAATGTTGCGACATGTACCCTCAAAAGTTTACATAATACTTTTGCTAACTTGAAGTTACATGTACATTGTAAATCCCTTTACTCACTAGATCCATCATTCATTCATCAGTCTTGGAATATTAGTAATGAAATGGTAATCAGTATTCTACCAAATTGAATTTTTTTTTTTTTCAACATTTTTCAGAATTAAAAACAGTGATCAAAATCTTATGTAGTTCTTGACATAATTTATATCTAAAGAAAATAGTACACATATCCTTTTCTGCGTAGTTTAATTATAAGAATTTACAGTTTCAACCAGTCCCTTTGTCTGATGATCAATTTGATGTAAGCCTGTGATTGGAATTTATTGGTGCAGACAGAGAACTCACAAATGCATATACAACAGGATTGTGTAAATAGGAGAAAAAATTTAAAATCTAATTTGATTCTACAAGAGAAGATCAAGGATTTTCATTTCAGGTGGGGACATTAAATATTGATTATCACACATGTAAATATTAAACCAGAAGTCTCTGATGAGACTGTAGCTCTACTGGTCTGTTTGTATAACAAAAGAAAAGTAGCACTTGGATTTGAAACATTGCAACATGCAACAATAAATAGAATTATGTATCTTAATGTAGTCTACTTTTGTGACAAGTTATATTGAAATCAAATGAAAACTAGGAGTAGTAGCATTTTGAAAGTATTTCACGGAAATTTCTATTTTTAGTACCAGTAACCATGACAACACCACTCACCCAAATACAAAAATACATATTACGTATCGTAGTGTATTCTAACTGTGTGCCAAATTAGATTGAAATCAGACCAAAATTGTAGGAGGAATAACGTTTTAAAGGAATTTCACAGAAATTTCTATTTTAAGTAACCATGGCAACACTGTTCATCGAATTCAAAAACCAATGCAATAAATTATGTATCTTAGTATAGTCTTCTTGTATGCCTAATTATATTAGAAGCAGACTAAACCTGTAGCAGGAGTAGTGTTTTAAAGGAATTTAACAGAAATTTCTATTTTTAGTAACCATGGCAACACCGTCCATCGAAATCAAAAACCAATGCACTAAATTATGTATCTTAGTGTAGTCTACTTGTGTGCCAAGTTATATTGAAATCCGACCAAAACTGTAGGAGGAGTAGCGTTTTAAAGAAATTTAACAGAAATTTCTATTTTTAGTAACCATGGCAACACCGTCCATCGAAATCAAAAACCGATGCACTAAATTATGTATCTTAGTGTAGTCTACTTGTGTGCCAAGTTATATTGAAATCCGACCAAAACTGTAGGAGGAGTAGCATTTTAAAGAAATTTAACAGAAATTTCTATTTTTAGTAACCATGGCAACACCGTCCATCAAAATCAAAAACCGATGCACTAAATTATGTATCTTAGTGTAGTCTACTTGTGTGCCAAGTTATATTGAACTCCGACCAAAACTGTAGGAGGAGTAGCATTTTAAAGAAATTTAACAGAAATTTCTATTTTTAGTAACCATGGCAACACCGTCCATCGAAATCAAAAACCGATGCACTAAATTATGTATCTTAGTGTAGTCTACTTGTGTGCCAAGTTATATTGAAATCCGACCAAAACTGTAGGAGGAGTAGCATTTTAAAGAAATTTAACAGAAATTTCTATTTTTAGTAACCATGGCAACACCGTCCATCGAAATCAAAAACCGATGCACTAAATTATGTATCTTAGTGTAGTCTACTTGTGTGCCAAGTTATATTGAACTCTGACCAAAACTGTAGGAGGAGTAGCATTTTAAAGAAATTTAACAGAAATTTCTATTTTTAGTAACCATGGCAACACCGTCCATCGAAATCAAAAACCGATGCACTAAATTATGTATCTTAGTGTAGTCTACTTGTGTGCCAAGTTATATTGAACTCTGACCAAAACTGTAGGAGGAGTAGCATTTTAAAGAAATTTAACAGAAATTTCTATTTTTAGTAACCATGGCAACACCGTCCATCAAAATCAAAAACCGATGCACTAAATTATGTATCTTAGTGTAGTCTACTTGTGTGCCAAGTTATATTGAAATCCGACCAAAACTGTAGGAGGAGTAGCATTTTAAAGAAATTTAACAGAAATTTCTATTTTTAGTAACCATGGCAACACCGTCCATCAAAATCAAAAACCGATGCACTAAATTATGTATCTTAGTGTAGTCTACTTGTGTGCCAAGTTATATTGAACTCTGACCAAAACTGTAGGAGGAGTAGCATTTTAAAGAAATTTAACAGAAATTTCTATTTTTAGTAACCATGGCAACACCGTCCATCAAAATCAAAAACCGATGCACTAAATTACGTATCTTAGTGTAGTCTACTTGTGTGCCAAGTTATATTGAAATCCGACCAAAACTGTAGGAGGAGTAGCGTTTTAAAGGAATTTCACAGAAATTTCTATTTTTAGTAACCATGGCAACACCGTCCATCAAAATCAAAAACCGATGCACTACATTATGTATCTTAGTGTAGTCTACTTGTGTGCCAAGTTATATTGAAATCCGACCAAAACTGTAGGAGGAGTAGCGTTTTAAAGGAATTTCACAGAAATTTCTATTTTTAGTAATCATGGCAACACCGTCCATCGAAATCAAAAACCGATGCACTAAATTATGTATCTTAGTGTAGTCTACTTGTGTGCCAAGTTATATTGAAATCCGACCAAAACTGTAGGAGGAGTAGCGTTTTGAAAAATTGTTTACAGACAGACGGACAGACAGACAGACAGACAGACGGACGGACGACGGACACCTTACTATCGCATAAGCTCTTCTGGTCTCTGACCAGTAGAGCTAAAAACAAATAACCAAAAAAAATCTTAATTAACTATCCTACTGGGATATATGACAGGAAAAAGTACCTCTAGTAAAAGTATTCAACAAAAAATCTTTTAAAAAAATTATAAGTACATGTATACACAGTATCTATCTATTTCCAAACACCTTAACACCCTACCTACTTCAGAAAGAACAGAAAATAAAACTTATAACCAAAAACAGGGTGGAATTAGCTAATACTCAGACAACTGAGCCAACAGAAATGTTGCAACATATACCTTCAAAAGTCCACATAATACTTGTGCCGACTTGGAAGTTACTTTAGAGGAGGTGTATGGTGGTTTGTTATGGTAAATATTAGTTTTTATTCATGTACAGAAATATGGTAAACTAATTTCGTTGGCAAATTTTTGGATGAATTGCTGTAATATGTCGGGCACTCTTCCCTTTAATTCCACCTCTTTGTATATGGAATACAGTAAATTTATCCAAAAATGTTGTTATGAAAATGACATTAAAAAATTTCAAGCTTTTTTTAAAATTGAATAAGATGATTCAGAGAAAAAATAAGGAAAATATATTTCCAAATTTCAAAATACAATTACTAATATATCAAAACTGAAACTTCTAAAGATTAAAGTAATAACTTTACTCTGAATACAATTATTATGTGAAGACAGTTTTAATGAAAGACATTTTGGATGGGTATAGAAAAAAAATCTATCTAAATTAAAGCTAAGCTGTCAGTCATAGGAAGTGTGTCCGTGTGATCCCCTGGATCTAAATTTAGCCATAAAAAATGGTGTGGCAGCCATTGCTAAAATAGCTATTCCCATTAATGGTCGATAAGCAATCCAGCCAATGGCTATGACTGTTAGAGAGAGACTGATGGATAAACAGAGGTTCATCATGGTTACTCCAATAGCTACAAGCTCTCGGATAATCGGCAGCCAATCAACTGAAAAAATATTTTTAAAAAATCATAAACAACATACATATAGTTACATATAAAAGGTTTAAAAAGTCGACTTATATTTAAGTGCTATTGCGGACATTTTCTTTTTTTCAAGCAAGTACAGTCATTCATAAATACTGTAAACCAAGTTTAATTAGCGTGCGAGAAATATTCGCGAGTTTTGTGACCTTCGTTTGTTCGGGAATATTTCTCGTCGCGAACCAATTATTTACATGTAAGTTTTTGTTAAATGTTTCATCAGTCGCGAAAATTAGTAGTTGCGGATGAATTTCAAACTGATGAATCGCGATTAAAAGATGTCGCGAATAATAGTTGGTTTACAGAAATGTATCCACATTTATATATCAGTGTTCAACAGCAGATTTAAAATTTCAAAAGGGAAGGGGCAAGGGTCTGGTCATTCTACTTTTTACCAAAAAAAAGGGGGGCAGCCCAGACCCCTCCCCCTTTAATACTGACATCTGTTCAGAGTAAATGAATGTCATTGAAACTAAAATGTGATCAAGTACATTTCCCCCCTTTCAACAACCTCTGTATGATATGTTATATAGATACTTCACTTTCTGCTTCATTCAAGCTTCTATCATACCTAGAGTTCTGATGATGCTTGTTAAGCATCCAAATCCCACAAACATCAGGAGCCAGCCTCCAAACCTCACAGCCCAGGATATCATAGTGTTCTTCTGGTGTTCTTGAGCAAATATTGCCTACAATGAAAGAATTATATTACTTCAAGTTAAAATAAATGTTATACATGTATTCTAATTTTTTTTAATATATTGTAAAATCACATATTTTCGTTTGGTCAAATTTTTGTGGTTAGAGGAAAAAATACTGGTTTGTAGGGATTTGAGTTTATGGTTGAAAAGAAATGTTATGTATTTGAAAGTTTACATTTTCATGGAGGTCATTAATTCATGGTTCTCTTCGTATCTCAAAAACAACAAAAATAAAACCCCCACAAATATAAATGATTTCAGAGTAACCTGTATGCTTAAAGATCCTAATAAAATGTTAAGAATGCTTGAATTAATTCCAAATTGAGTAACACAACCCAATCAGCAAACATATGCTGAAGATGACAATTTTATAAAGGTAAAAAACCTGATATTGAGTTATCTCTCTTTGCACTCCTCCTTTGCTTACAATACTTTCCAACATAATTATGATAAAAATTTATCATACAAAGAATTCAAAGAAATTTCTCCCCATTGGAAACTTTGGGCTGATGTGTACATGTACTACTAAGGCACAGTATAATTATATAAACATTTACACACTGTCATTCACATGGGCTTCTATCACTATTCAAGGGCCAGCAGTGCCCAGCACCCCCTTACCTTCCCAACTCTGAGCACACAATACTGTGTGACTGCCTATATATCTGAAAAGTTAAACAGATATACCAACCTCTGGGGAATGTCTTCCCATATAGAGAAAGAGCAGATCATATCCATTATCTGCTTCATAACGAACGATGGAGTTACCGGACTGCTTGCCTATAATGCTCACCTATAAGAGAGATAATAGATTTCTTTAGTTCATTTGTGTAAAACAATTTCTTTTTTATATAAAAATTAATTTGCATTTCTGATTTCATACTGTGAACATCTTTAATTCCAGTTTCAAGTTCCATAATTTTGAATGTAACTGTTTATAGCAAGAATAAATTTGATTCTCTTTATTGAAATCTTTGAACAGCAAGAGATTCAGAAATATATTACAGAGGCTACATCACTCCAAACACTAGGGGATTTATTTAATATAATCTATATATACAAAGAGAACATCATATCTTACCACATCTGGCTTCCCTAGAGTAGACTCTCCACTAATTCCAGCATATTTATAGCTCACCCGGATATCTCCTGCCTAAAGGAAAGCAATTTCAAATATTTCAAAAAAAACAAAAACAAAAACCCTCCTGAGATTCCAGTTTCTTTCTGTGTCTCTTTCATGAAAAGATATATATAGTTATTTATTGTAACATTATTTCTCCTCAGCTTATAAACAGAATTACATTTAGCTATTCACTGATTAGCATAAATTTAAAAGCTTTCAAGCGCATATAGAACTTGAGGGTCATTCATCCCTATTGGTGCATCTTTTACTACATGCACATTAATGTAATTCCATATAAAGAACATTTACACATTTTGCATAAATTTGTATCATCCATGTTTTATATATGGAGTGAAATCTGTCTAATCCGACATGCACTGGGACACAAATTTTGTGTTGAAATAGGCAGGGTGTCAGATAAAGAGTGTTGAGAAATAAAAAAATAGTGAAGTTGGAATCAAAATAAAGGCTGGAATTCACAGTGAAACAGACTACCCAGGTACATGTAATACATGTAGAATCCTTATTTTACATGAGTATAACAAATTACTGTAACATAACCATACAACAAAACAACATCACTAGTGGACTGTTGTTCAAGAGTTTTTGCATTTCCGAAAATGTAAAAGTGAATAATTTTACCTGGTATTTTCCGAGTGGTATTTCTCGCAAAATCACACAATAATAAATTCCTCACAAATACTAACAAATCAACAGACACTCAAATTACAGGTGACTCTCGATGGCTCGAACTCCGATCTCTCGAAGTTCTCGATCTCTCGAAGTGAACCTCCGGTCCCGTTTTTTTCATCTATATAACTAAGCAAATTTACTCCTGATCTCTCGAACTTCCAATCTCTCGAAGTTCTCTATCTCTCGAACTAAGACCTGGGTCCCGTTACACATATTTCATTGTTTTTTACTCTCTACTTTTCGAAGTTTTGATTGCACATGTATATACACGTCAATCAAGCATAAAATTAATTCAGCTTGGACTTATCTGGATAACAGTGAACGCCTGGGGCTGGGATGGACGTGTTAATTGGGTGTTTACATAGATGATACTACTCCTGTGAGTTGTCCGAGTGTTGATATGATTAATTGGTTAATTGGTAAATTATAAACAAATCGCTTCACAACTTATTTTGACTGGACGAGACGATAATTTTGAGAAAATAATTTAGGGATGGTCAGTAATTTTCCATAGATTAAGAACTTTAATATTATTAGAGTCTACACAATCCCAGTTTGGCAAACATTGCACAAGAAATCCTATCTCAAGAATTGTATACCGAGCAATCTTGTGAAGGACCGATCATGCCCGCGCCGGGGGGTTAGCAAAATCGACAATTGCTATTCAGCAGTGATTTTTCTATACTTTTTAAATGGGGTCTGGGCCTTTACAATTGGGAAAAATTATCGACATTTGTGTCAAATTGGGAAAAATTATTAACTAAAGATTGAAATAAACCTTAATTGACAGGTAAAATAAAATATATATGTAAATGTAACATCTTTTATTCAAAATATTTACTACAAAATAACAAATTAGACACAGTTCTACATTTTTAACTTTTTTTTTAATCTTTGAAAGTTGTCATTAATTGAGACTGTCCTATAATTCCATCTTTCTTCTCCTTTTTTTTTTGTTGCCATAATGGTAGACATAAGAGAAAATCCTACTCATAATAGCCATTGAAGGTGATATAACCTGACATGATTTATAACAAATCCTTTTTTTCTAACTAGTTATTAAAGCTTTTTAAATTACCCTTATCATATTGCTGCAATATTAGTTGCATCTTCCACGTGTTACAGAAACAGTTGGAATCAGGCTTATTGTAGAACTACTAGTACTTTTATTTACAAAAAAAGCTATGTTTCGCCGGTTCACATGCATCTTACACTTTCCTACGATGCATTTAGTTTGACATGGTCCATGTGTTTTTCTATGTCTTGTAAATGCACAAAATAATCAGCTGTTCTTCACTATTATTGACCGAGAACAATAGTGTTTCACTTTAGATAAGTCCTACATAAAAAAAATTCAATATAATAAAAACAAGAACGGTTTTGTTTTGGGAAAAAAAGCAAATGAAATTGGGAAAAAATCGGTAATTTTTGATAGGGGAAAGGGCCGATATTCGGACCTAAAATGGGTGTAGAAAAATCACTGTTCAGGTTTCATGTAATCATGAAATGAGAACAAATAAATATTGAAACTTAAATTAATCATTTTATTTATTCAAAACACGATCATCGTTGTTGAAATCAAGTGAATATTACCCGTAAAATACGAATGAAAACGTGTAATGACATGATCAACATAAACTTCCGGTATGTATAATAGTAGAACAATGATGATCGGAACTGAAAATTCCGGATTTTATTCACTTTCTATCTCTCGAACCCCCCGATCTCTCGAACTTTTCTTGCGGTCCCTTGAACTTCGAGAGATCGAGATCAAATTTTACAAAAGTGAAGTGAATCACTATACCTGTAGTGACTCTAAACACATGAATACCGATAAGTACATATATGGTAAAATCCTGTTAAGTTATTGACATAAGGCCTATGATACCTGTGGTTTTCTTGGATTCTGAGACATGTAGTACATCCCATTAAACAGTGTGTATCCATCATGAGGCACGGGAAGGAGCTCAGATGGAATGGGGCGGAACTCACTGATCTGGTCAACCAATCCTAAAGAAAGATAATTAAACTTTATTCAGATTTCATGATTTCAAAGGAGAACTGAAATACAGTCAAACCGCGTTATCTTGAATGCAAAGGACCAAGAAAATACTTCAAGATATCTAAGATATCTAAGATATCCAGGGTAAAATACTTAAGGAATAAGCAGTTGGGACTTCAAAATGACTTCAACATATCCATGGTATTCAAGATATCCATGTTCGAGATACCGAAGTTCAACTGTATGTGGAAACCATATTCCTACCATCATAATTGTATCATTTACAGAACTGATATTGTCTGATCACTTACCACTTGAGAGATGATATATTCCAACATGCACTGGACTGGCTACTTGTGTTCTTGATTCGACTGGGAAATTCCTACAAAGTACATGTAAAGAAATGTTTGAGAAACATATATGCCCTCCATGTGGCAATATTAAAAAGGGAACAACTTTAAATCTAGAATGTCTGTAACAACATAGTGAAAGCAAATGGTCCTCTACTAGTCAGGGGCAAACATAATACTAGTTAAATTTGATCTCTATCATATCTCAATATCATTAGGGTAATTTACTTCTCAGAAGGTACCAGCTGCAGTTTACCAAAATTGATGTATGTAAAGCAAATTCTTCTCAAGACACTGAGCTGACAATATCTTCCTACATGAATGTCTAGTGTCTATGTTGTAATGTTGTTTGACCTTGACCTTTGACCCCATGACCATTCATCTACTTCTCAATCGGAACCAATAACCCAAGTTTATATCTGTCTAGCAAAGAGTTCTCTAGATATTGAGCGGTCAATACTTTCCTATGTCCAGTTTGCCCTTGACCTTTGACTTTGTGATCAAAATCAATAGGGGTCATTAACTCCTTAAGGGAAACCAATCTACCAAGTTTGATGTCTGTCAAGCATATTGCTCTCAAGATATTAAACACACAAGATCTTCCTATCTCTATAGTTATTTAACTCTTGACCTCTTTGTATTACCTTGTGACCTCGAAATCAATAGGGGTCATCTACTCTTCAGGTGGTAGCCGTGTACCAAGTTTGATGTCTGTCAAGCAAAGGAATCTCAAAATGTTGAGCATACAACATTTGGTCTAGCAACTGACATACTGCCCGACCTATGGACAGGAGCAGAGCAATATGCCCCCTTTTTTAAGGGAGGAAGGATAAAACAAATCAGTGTGCATTCATTATAGAATCTTTCTTTATAAAAGCACAAAGCAAGGACATAAATGATTTAAAACTCTACAATGTTTCAAATTTGTTATACATGTCACAGGAACTTGGGGGCTGGAACCCCCCCCCCCCCCCCCCCCTTTCAATTTTTTTCTTTTTAAAACTGGGATCAGCAAACCTTTCTCCTATTTCCTGCACTATATATGTTTTCAATAATGTAATCATTTTGTCTCAATAAGCTGTTTTTTTAATATATCATTTTCCACTGATACAAAAAAAAGAGAGTCGAAAATGATATATTTAGAAAATCAATAAAATTTTTATAGACTTTTTCTTTTTTTATATCAAACTCAAAGTATAATACCTGGTATCCTTTACCCATAGGCCTAGATGCCATGATTTGAACAAACCTAGAAGTAGGTAATGTGGGGTAGCTTGCATATGTAATTGATGTCACAGTCCAATGCAAAACAGAAAGGTAGAAATATATTGTTCAATGCTTCAATGCTTTATAAATATACCTTGGGTTTTTGTGGCCAACTGGGTTATCAAACGAATCACTATTGACTAAATCGGATCTCCATTCCAAATCTGCAAATAAAAATAGATAATCAGTAATGATCTGTCCCTGTAATTGCTTTCACATTATAATTCAGAAACCTACATTTCAATATGGAAATCATGTACATTTCTGTAGTAGCATGTTACTAAACCATTACACAATTACATTCATTGTCCAAGAGGAATTGAAGTACAGGATTCTACCAAGCATCTTGTATAAATACAAGTGAAATTTTGTTAAATTCATCATAAACTTAAGGCATATGTATTTTTATTGAACTTGTCTTGAGAATGTGGTTTCTGTTATAGACATGTATCATATGTCCTGTGTCTCAAGCCTACCGTTTGATTAGGTGGTTTCTGTCAGTCAGATTTCTAACAGTAAATAAGTGGTGTTTGTTGGGCTAACAAAACAAGTATTTTTAATCTATGACACACTTATAGTATGACTTTATGGCAATCTAATTAAAATTTGACCTTTCATCTCGCTCTTTGTAAATATATTTGTTGCTTGTGAGACAAGCGACAAATAGATTTACGAAGAGTGAGATGAAAGGTCTAATTTTAATTAGATTGGACTTAATAGTTTCAGAAAAACTCTAATTATGATTTTTTTTGTCTCACTTACCACATGCATATATGGTTTCTTACCATATGAGTCTGTGGTTTCTGTGTAACTTAACAGATGAGTTCGTGTATGCTTATCATATGACGTTGTGGTTTATTACCATATGAGTATGTGGATTCCTACCATATGAGTATGTGGTTTCTTACCGTATGAGTATGTGGTTTCAGTCCTTGTTTGTCCACCTTCATTGTATTCTCTGTATAGGATAAAAAAACTTGTAAGAAAGCTTTAAACATACATATCACAAATATAAATAAGGTTGTGTTTGTCATATTCTAACAATTCTTATAATAATTCATGTGAATTACATGTACAGAGAGATTTCTATCATATAAAGCAGTTAATGTGTTTATAATAAAAAAAAATACAGGTACATGTTAGAATGTCTGTGGGTAATTCACTTTATTGATATACAAAACCTTAGAACTCTGCCAAAAAAGAATAATATATCTGGTTGCTCATGAAGGTATTCTGACTGGTAAAAAAACCCAAAATTTTTAAATATTTATACATTTTACATGAATTGGTTAGTTGATGAACTTTGCCCTCTGACCTTTTTGTCTCTGTCTCCACCCACTGATACATTTCCACACTTCTCTGTAATTTAACTGCATTTACCGTCACGTAGTGTACATCATCTACCAATGGTTGCTGTTGAGAGATTAAGTGACATACAAATTATATTTACCCCACCTCTGTTGATTTTTCGATGAAATCCTGGCTTACGATTGGTTGAAGTCTGTCACTTGGAAGGGGGTGTATTACTTATACCTAGTTGCTTGAAAATCAATACATGGTCGAGTTATCGTTCTTTTTTAACATTCTAACAAGTCGAGTTCATGCAATTTGCCGAGTGTCTGTTGACAATTTAACAGTTAACTAATGTAACGAAGATGGAACCTTTTCTTCCCTTTACTGAAAGTCTTCAAAACTGTCAGTATACGTTATTACAGCACTACACACTAGCAAAACAAATTACGTCACACAAAGTGATGTCATTATAGGCATTGTATGAGTGATGAATCATGTAATTATACAGGCCTAGTAAGAAAAACAATTTTACAAACCACAGACAATGCATAAATATTTCATCAGTGGGGTAAATTTGTTACATAGTTTTGTAGTGACAGGGTACGGGATGACACCTGGTTAGTAAATTCCATTCCTGGCTCGGCTATGAAATTTACTAACCAGGTATCATCCCGTACCCTGTCACTACAAAACAATGTAACTAATAACATCTTTTTTCCTAGTACAGTAGAAGCAATATGGTTTACCATGTCATGCCTTGAGCGCACACATCCCCCTTCCATTTTTCACCCAAAATCAAGGGATCATGTACATCCTTTACATGTACTTAACTTTTCTTAAAATATGAATTTTCGTAAAGTCAAAGTTGTTAAACTTTATCAGACTTTTGTCAATTAGTGTTTAAACTTATGATAAATAATTTGTATAATTTCCTTACTACAAGCATGTCATGTGACCTATATATATTTCGAGAAATATTTAGATTTCTTTTATGTTTTTTCTCAAATACCTTAATACATTGATCTTCTTTACTTTTCAGTTATGGGGTGTCCACTAAATATACATGTAGGACAACAGGTATTTATAAGTAAGTTGTCCAGAAGTGGCAATTGCACACTCCTCACATAATATACTTTACACTGTTGTATCTTTGTATTAGAAAAGTTTTTTTTCTCTAAGTTACTCATAAACAACACTGTATATATACAAGTATTACAAGTTACAACATGTCTATCTAATTAAAAATATGCCATATCACTAGGAATATACATGCATTACATAGCATGCTTAAAGCATGCAAAGTACATGTTAAGAAAGTACCACATTGAAACTGGCAAATTAAATGAATAATTGTTCCCTCTATCTATCTTTAGAGCATAATAAGCATTTTTTTTGCTACTAAACATTTGTATACCTTTCCAGTAGACAGCTCACCACTGATGTAGATTAGTGCTCCATCATTGTTTGTATTGATCCCAAATATATTTTCCTGGACCATAACCTTGCTCAATCCTTCATCTAAAGACTTTGCAGTTTTAACAGCTCTTCCCTACAACACAATGACAGAGTTTAAAATCTTGTGCACTGTATCCTTATTACATGTTAAAATGAAAAAAGTCTTACATGTATATGTTAAACCAATGGCTTCTCTGAAGTGACAAGTTCATTTTTCTGTATTTCTAATGTTTGAGTATTGTCACAAACATTGATATGAAATTCAGTTTTTGATTTATGATCTAAAAAAGTTACACAGCTATTCATGTACATGTCCTTTTTACTAACTACCGGTATGTGGAAAGGACAATTTAATAATGAAATCATCAATTAAAGTATTATTCTAAATATTCAAACATGATATAAACTGATATTTGCAACTGCTCTGTTTTTGATTTTCTGTTTCATATAATGAAGTGAAAAGCTTACCTCATTCCAGAACAATAGAACTGAAGCTCCTATTAGAAGGGCTATCCCCACCAGTATACCAATTAGGCTTTGACCAATCCTCTCCAGAAAACCAGGATTACGGCGATATGATACTCGAGTGTGGCTGTCCATATTGTGGTGACCTGGGGCATCAGGGTACTGCCATGCAGAATGAAAGAAAATAATTAAAAAGGGAATCTTACATATCATGCATGGAGGTATTTATTGAAAGCACTGGCTATGTCAGCTTGTTGGCTCAATGGTTAGAGCACTCGTAAGGTTAGCAGGAGATTTTGGCTTTGATCCCTAATCTGGCCAACATTTTCCACAGGTCTGTTACATGTACATGTAGCATCCAGCAAGAAAGTTCATGGGTAGTTCAAAGCATATAAATGTGGTTTTAGTTTTAGAACTTAAAGGGAAAGGAGGAAAAGTGCCAAGGGGATTCAGTGCCTTGGCCCGTATTTTGGAGGTTTGACCACTATGATGGTAAGCATGGGGCCCTAGTTTGAGTCCCTGTCTGGCTGAGTTTTCTGGGCCAGTTATACATGTTACACATTGATTAAACACAACTACAGAATAGGGCTGTCACGGTTCCAAAATTTTTCGGGTCGGGTCGGTTCTGTAAATTTTCGGTTCGGTTTCGGGTTTTTCGGTCCGGTTATTTACATCTATTTTAAACCTTAATTTCATGAATTTAACTTGAAAAATCTTTTATTTGTTACATTAAATTTACATTGAAAACAAGTCTTAACCATGCGAATGTCTAGACATCGTTGTGTAGAACTACTTGGCCTACTATTAGCCACAACCTGACCATTCCTGCTCGTTTTGATAATTATCTTATACTTCCGTGACAAGTGTTTTGTCATGGAATAAAGTAGATTTCAGTTGTGATGTTTATTTATCACTGTTATTGTCATCATTCCTTTGATTTCGACGCCATTTTTTGTATTGAACAGACTCTAATATATAAACCAGACCCGAACCGAAATCCGGAAAAATGGAACTGAAACCGAACCGAACAACTTGGACAGCGGTTCTCGGTTATTTCGGGTACTCATGACAGCCCTACTACAGAATCAAATCAAATGTTAAAATTATACAAACAAGACAGAAATTCACTTTACCTCTCGAGATAATTTTGTCTAATCAGCATCAGTTTTAATTTTCCTTCTATCAAATATCTCTTAAAATAAACGTTTATCTATAGATACGCAAATTAAAGTTAAAATTCATGCAAAATGACTGAAAGTGATCTGGACAACATTTATTGATACTGTAGTTTGAAAGACTATAGCAAGAACAAGCCACTTCGAGTTTACCTTTATTATTGCTAGGTCAAAATGCTTAAGAGTACTTGCACTGAGTTCCTTACTTCTAGAAAATTAAGATAAGGACTGAGAAATAAGATAATGATACGATAAGATACTGGACATGTCCAACAGGTCAGCACGTGCAAGGTTTCACACAAATATCCACATAAAAATGATTGTCTGTAATACTTACATGGCTTCTGTACATACTAAAACAAATGACAGCTCTTATTATATCGATTGCAACAGAAAATGATGCAGCAACAAAATAAAAACGAAAGTTGTTTACCTTTTACCGGAAGTAGATAAGTCGTGATCTGATTGGCTGATGTAACTTTTTGTTATATCGAACATAAAATGTTTCGAAATAATGTAAGTGCAATGCTATTGTAACCTCAGGTCCTCGGATAATTGTCCATGTGAAATTCCAGGTAGCGGTGCAGTTTTCATGAAAAAATGCTTATGATTTGAGTCGCCATTCAGGTCTGTAGCAACGGTTTAAAAAAAGGGGGGGGGGGACTTCCCAAAATAATCGGGAAACTAAACTAAAATAATGAGTGTTCATAGAAAATCATCTAATATCGCTTTTCTATATGATTTGGACAATTCCCATTATTTTATTTGTGTTATGAAAATATGTATAAATTTTATTCAAGATTGAAAAATTTAGAGTCAGAGAATGAGCATCATGATCAATTAGTGGTGTCTGCATTTAAGGAAGATAAAACACTGGGGTCTAGAGTATCTTGGCAAAGAAAACTTTTTACTCTAGATCTACATCAGAAATTGTCTTTATCCTCATTGGACATATCACATAAAACTTTAAGACATGAATTAGAGGAGCACTATGGGAATAAAATCTGTGAACAGTTAAAGAATATTTCTAAATCAGATTCTGGAAAATTAACTTTTTATAGTAATATCATTATAATATATGACCGATTAGCTAGGGGTGTCCACACTGTAGCTCGAACCTACAACCCTCAGATTTAAAATCCAATGCTCTACCGACTGAGCTAAAGGGTTAACCCACTAGCTAGTGCTAGTAGGAGCGTGGCCTTACTATATACAACGCATAGCCACTTTCAACTCTGTTACAAATAAATTTAAATGAATATAGATTACAGAACTACCTACAATTACCATTGGAATTAAGAAATCTGAAATTTTAAGAACAATCCTTACAAAACTAAGTATTGGTGCTCATACACTACATATTGAAATAATGGGAAGATATACTCAAGGCCACCTATTCCTAGAGAAAAACGTGTATGTCATTCTTGTAAATTTTTTTTATTGAAAATGAAAAACATTTTATACTTTATTGTCCTAGTAATGATCAGTATAGATTACAATATTGTGATATATTTAATGCTCAATGTTACATGAAGGAAAACCCTATTATAATGACATTATCAACCCTCCAAGTATCACAATTGCTAGAAGAGTATGTAACTTTCTGAAAAAGTGTTTTGATATTAGAAAAGAGAAACTTCAACATAACTGATATGCTTACTGTAATAATTGATTTTATGTATGTTATTGTTTGTTGTATTCATGACTAATTATGCCAATGTATGATGGTGTTGTCAAATATAGATGAATTGAATAATAACAAGAGGCCCAAGGGCCTTAACGGTCACCTGAGTATAATGTAATGATCCATAGATTAAAAAAAAATAAGCTGATAAATAAAGCTTTGTTGCCCAAATGCAAGAGAAATAGGATGGTCAGGGATCAGCAACTTATTACTCAGTAATTTAGTTCTCAACAAATCTTAAAGTTGGTCTAATTATTTGCCTGTACTTTTCCCATTTTTCACTGTCCTCATGTGGACTAAACAAAACAACACTTCTAGAGCACTATTAGTTAACACAATTCACCCCCCTCACAAATGGCCTCTCTTGATCTTTAAAGATTATTTATTGTACAAAGATATATGGTAATTTTGTCCCATTTACATCTATCTATTATTTAAAGGTTTACCTGACCATTAAAATCTATAAAAGTACTTTTGTATTAAATATTATAAAATTTATAGTATAATTCTGTTATTCGATTGACCTTTTAAGGTATTTCACTCGTGAAATTTGTTATATCAACCCGTACCAAACATTCTAGCAAATGCTCATGAGCAGCTCATGAGACTCACATGAGAATCTAGTAAGAAATGTATGTAAATTAGGTAGAATTGGATTTTGCTCATGTGCAGATTGTTAGTCTTTGTTAGGGAGGAAAATACTAACCAGAATGCACATGTGCAAAATAATGCTCACCTGGATGCTCATGAGCAAAAGTCTATTCATTTGCTCACGTATGAACAGGCCTTATTTAAAGATATAGCATTGGTAGTAATTTTTCTAAGTTCAGTTTTCTCACGTGAGCAAGAGGTTAGGAAATTGGACATAGTCAAAATTCAGTATTGCAGGTAGAACCAATTAAAACCAAAGAATTACAAGTCTCATTTCCTCATGTGAGCATTTCAAATGCTCACGTGAGGAAATACAATACTTTGTCACTCTATGTGGTCCAAGCTTTTACACGCCTTCATTACCATTGCCCATGTGTTAACTGTTAAGGCTTCCTGATGAATTGGGGGCCAGGCAGGAATTTCTTAACTTCTTGAGCTTCCAATCTTCATCCCATCATTTTGCAAATGCTTTCCTCTCCCTAAACAACCTGTTGTGTCCCCAACAGTTGCTTAAAACTAGGGCAGTGTCCAATGAGGGGAGCCAGTCATTTGTGCGCGCTTTCAGAGTAGTTTAAAATTTCAATCCAAAATGTTTGTGAGGGACTGAAAGTATACACCGGTAGATTTATACAGTTAAGAAGTGAAATATGCTTTGGGAAATACATGTCATCACCATATTGAACTGGATGTCAACATTTTAAAAGCTACAAATGTATCTTATGTCCAGGAGATGAGGAAATATTAAAGATCAATTACGAATGACCATGCAGCCACAATGAAAAAGAACTGTGATAATAGGAAAATTTCAAAGATTTGCTGGTACTAAAGAATGCTGAGAAAAGGGTGAGTGCACGGGCCTTATAATCCCCCTCTCATTTCAGATTGCACTAATTATAAAACATAATATGTTTGTGTGTTAATTATTAATTAATACTTAATTTAGATAGAAATGCAGTATGTTATCAATAATTACAGTTTAATATATGAACATGAATTTACATCATTACATAATGTAATTAATGTTTATATAGTTCTGAATATAGGACCAAACATAAAATCCTTAATGTATTGCAAATTCTCTATAGGGGATTCTTTTAAGAACTATAAATATGGTAACCCAGAAGTTAGATTAGGTCAAAGTGTACATAACAGCTCAGTGCAGTAATCTATAATTTATCTATGATAAGATAAGTTGCTTATAATATTGATGCATATGATTTATTACTGACTGGCATTGACCAATTGAACTATGAAAAATATAATAACTATAAAGGATGTATTCGTTATAACAAAAGATTTGACCTATAGGAGAGAACTAGCTATTTTCCGGAAAAAGTCACATTTAAAAATCAATCTTCTTTTAGTTGTTTTCTATTGTATATTTGTCTAAATTTTACAAATTTGCATTTTGAACCTAATTTTTTTAATTTGCAACTTTGAAATTAACCTTCAAAGTTGGTCCAAACAGTATTTTGTCCGTTAAAGCACTAATTTTTGCGTGAATTTTGGCATAGAAGTCCTTTTGGGCAGGCCTGCCCCTAACTTAAATTATGAAATTTTGATAGATTTTGATCTAAAGAATGATTTAAAACAAGATTATTTTAGGGGCACCCCTGCCTTACGGTCGAAATTCGTAAAAAACCTACAAAAAATGCGAAAAACCTAGTTCTATCATACTGGTTTACATTTATGGAGTGCATTTTCATAGTCAGTATAGCTCAGAGAGATGGACCGAAGACTCTTACCATGGACCTATTTTATGTCTTAGTTCGAATCCACCTGCTGGCACACTTTTATTTTTTTTTTCAAATTTTACACCTGTATAAACATGAACTTTAATTTTTTATACAGGCTTTTGCATTTTACTTCCATTTTCTTCTTTAAATGTATGTTTGCTGTTGATATAAAAGACATTTAATATATATTATATTTGTAATCTAAATTTTATTCTATTGTTGTTTGTTCAAGTGAGCAATTGTTGCACATGAGACTAACGAGCCTCATGTGAGCAATATTCTAGGTGAGCAAAATGATTCCTCACATGAGCAAAACATGTTCATGTGCAGAATCTTGCTCACGTGAGCATTTCACCTAATTTGCATGTTAAATTGCACATGAGACCTCACATGAGCGTCTCACGTGAGGAAATCTGGTTAGTCCTCACTTGAGCTGCTCATGAGCAAATTGTGAGAATGGTTTGGTATGGGAAGGATATACTAGAAGTATATTCTTGATAAGTACTCATTACAAGTACCCTGTAGTAAGACTCAAAATCGCAGAGAAAATGGGGTGTCAGTGTGCATCTAACTGAGCTACGGTACAATTAAGTTGACTTTTTGCACTTAAATTGTAACTCTTTGGTTAATCACTTTAACCGTTATCATATTTTATCAGATGTAACCATGGCGATAAACATAATCTTATTTAACGTAAAATTGTTTGAATAATATTTATCATTGAACAAATCATGCGAATTAATGCGCATAAATTATTGTGTGACCTTTTTGCACTATAAAAGTCTCATATTTGGGGTATTAAAAATCTAAATAGGCAATAGAATATTTTCTTGTATCAAACTTTTTACGACTTAATTACGACTTAAGTGCTGATCGGTCAAAAGTATCGAGTAGTTTAAAATAATGAAAGAAAAAGTTGGGGTCAGTGATGTAAATTTTGAAATATTGGTCAAAATATGCGATTTTCTGGCAGAAAAACTGTTGAAATTTGATCTTAGCTTCTTTAATATATCTTCATTTCTTGGCAAAATTTGTCTAGCGAAGGTGTAAATTTTGTTATAAAAATACAAATTGAGACCTATATTTAATATTCCAGGCATATCATAACGAAAAATATTCTCTAAGTAAAAGTATGTGAGGCTAAAGTTCCAAGATATTAAATTTAATAAATGTGTAGATTTGCAGAAATTTCTGCTAAATATCCTTCCACCACTAGAAATAGTTCCTTATAAATATTGCTTCTTTATGAATTTTTCAGCAGTTTTTTAATTGAATGTTGAACATTTTACATTGTTTAATTTAAATATGTCAGAAAGATTGAATTGTAATGAATAGTTTTTAAGTAAGAGG